ATAGGACTATACGCACATTGTTCCATTGTCAGTTTTCTGGTGTTGACATTGTTCTGTAATCATATGAGATGAGGCCATGAGAGACACTGAGTGAGGGGCACATGAGACATCCCTACTATTTTTGCAACTTCTGGTGAATCAGTAATTATTTCAAAATCTTAAAAACTTCGAAGTAAGTGGACTGAGAGAGCCATTGTATCTGTTTGGCCTCTTGTTGGCCCTACTTACCTAAATCCTAAGAGAGTAAAACTCCTAGTCGTGGTCTTTTTTGTTCATTCTTTGACGTGGAACCGTCTGAGGCCTTCAGAATGTGTGATAACAGGACATGGGCCAGGGTCTCCGACTGGCGCTCACAGGCCTCCACTGGCCACACATGCGTTTCATTGCTGACATACAATGGAACTTTTCATTGTCAGAACTTTTCAAATTAGGTGCTCGCATTTTAAAATCAGAAGATTTGAAATAAACCTTGGGATTTGGGGCTTCCTCTGGAAAATCAAAGGATTTGGTAACACCGGGCTCCCATTTCCACCTGGCAGAGCGAGGCTGGCCTGGGGAGCTGTCTGGGCTCCAGGTCGACACCTTGCCCAGGAGGGAGCCACGGGTCTGCTGTCATTTAGCATCACAGGTTACACATTTGTTTTCCTTACACCTGGACACTTAGTCACTTATGCTACTCACCTTGCCTCTGTAGGTTTTCTATTTGTAACCGATAATATAGATGGTAGCTTTCTAAAGATACCAGTTTTGTGAAATACTATACAGCCCCAGAGCAACAGAAAAAATACATATATACCAACATCTCCTGGGCTACTTCTAGTATAACAAAATACATTGTATCAGGAATCAGTTTTACACTCTGTGTCAGGAATCGTTATTTTATTAAGTCAATCAACATTAGTTGAGAATCTATTTGTGTCAGACCCTCTGCCAGCGTTGGGGATACAAGGATATTGGCAGAGAAATGCACGGTGTGCTGCTGGGCTCAAGCGAGGGAACAGCCGCCATGCCTGGGGATTGGGAAACCTGTGTAGAACAGGGGGCCTTGCAGCTCGGCCCTGAGAGGGCGTGCAGGGCAAGCAGAGGGGAGAAGGGGCTTCCTTCCGGCGGAGACGGCACGGCAAAGGCTCGCAGCCAGAAACCGACACACACTGTCAAAGTGATAGCAGTGATCACGGCTGGGGTTTCGGATGGACCCGTGATTGAGGCCAGACCACGAAGAGCTTCAAAAGCCATGTGTTAGCAGAACTGTTCCTGGTGATAATGCAGAACAAACAAAAATACATCAGTCCACGGTCCTGTCAGTGTTGTCTTTTGGAAGATAACTCCAGCAATGCCAACCCCCTTGCGCCAGCTTTCGCCATTTTCACGTCTCATCATTGGTTATAGTTTTAGATCAAATAATAGCAATACTAGTAAAGGTGTGCTTTCTATACAGGATCCTGTTGCCAGGGGACTGATTACAGTTTGGAAATCACGCATTTGTTGAGTTCGCACTGAGTGCTGAGTGAAAAGGGGCACCGCCCTTCTGTGTCGTATCATTCGGCCAGGGCCCTGGGCGCCCACACAGTGCCAGCCGGCAGGGAGCCTGCCCCCGGCGCTTGTTGGTTGAAAGCGTGTGGACGCCTGTGGGTACTTATCCAGGCCCCACACTACCCTTGGCAGGCAGGACACCCTGGACTGCGAGAACGGGATTTGTCGCTTGGGTTCCAGATCTTTTCTGTTACTGTCTGTGTTCAGACTTGGCCCAGGCCGGCTTCTGCAGGGATGTGTCACTGCAGCCAAAGGAAGGGGCACAGCAAGCCGGTCATTAGAATAAAGCCAGGACTCTCCAGGGGGCCTTGGGTCCTGACCACGAACAAAACCAGCAGGACGTTCCACGAAATTAAATGCAAAAATTAAATAACCACCCGAGAGAGAACTGGGCTAAATCATAGCATATGAAATTTAGAGTACATTTAAAGAAATAGTCACTGAAAGAAAAAAGTGTTAAAATTGGGAGACCACGGAGGTGCTGAAATCCCCTTAAATATTCTTTTATTGGAAAAGAGAAATTGTAACCTTTTTGAAAGGTTAAATGCTTTTTAAAAAAACTCATTAAACCAATGATGGATTTTTTTCTATTGATTTTTTTACTCAGTGATCACATGTGAACGCCTGCTGTGTCCCAGGTACGGTGCCAAGCTGGGCAACAGAGATTTATTCCATGATCTCATCAATGTTTTCATGTCTGCAGACTCAGCCGCACCATGTTCCTGGTATGGCAGAGGGCCCAAGAGCACTCATAAAAACTGTCCAAGACCATGTCATCATGTCAACTATTCTATGCTATTGTTTCAGGAAAAAGTTAAGTTTTTAAATTAATTTTTTAGTATCTCCAGTACAAAAGCATGAGACCTATTGTCACACGAAAACGTTAACTATATGCAGCCCCGTCTTCCTTCGGGAAGTCTTTCCAATATGTCTTCTCCCATCTTCTTGATTCCGTGTCTCCAAAGAGCCCTTTAATCAGTCCTCGTCTGCAGTGGAGACCGCATCCCCGCTCCTGGTCTTTACTGCCACCTCCCTGCGCAGTGGCTCCGTGTGCTGAGGCCGGAGCGGGGCCACTGCGGTCAGCCCGGCCAGCTGTCCCCAGGTGGATGCGGGCAGTTCCTTGGTCCCAGATCGGGGCACAGAGCTCTCCAGGCTCCCACCCTTAACATGATTCTTCCTGGCAACACACACTCTGCTCAGACCCTGAACCACAAATATATCCTATCCTGACCCGCAGCAGTGTGAGCCTCAGCCCGTGGAGCAAAGCATGAAGAGAAACCTAAAATTCTTGGCTCTCCCCACTGTTTTAAAAACAAACAATCGTTATGCCAGTAAGACGGTCCTTGTCAGGGAGTTCCCAATCTGAGGAAGGAAAACGTGACGCGTAAGGCTGACAGTCGTTCTGAGGGACCAGAGGCTCTGTCTCCTTGGGCTGCAGTCTCATCCTGCAGGGCAGCCTCGCAGAGGAGGCGGCATGGGCCGCTCAGTGGACATCTCCCAGAAATGAAGGAGTCGCGTTGTGGTGCAAGCCCCCGGGACTCCACACACCAGCCCGCATCACATGCTCTTTGTTGTTGGAACTGGAGCAGGTAGGACGTACTCGTCCGGGACCCAAGCCTTTGGCCGTCACATAAAACCACCCACGTGCTCCTCATTCATCTCGGTTTCCCAGGCTGCAGAAAAGGGCATCCAGAGTGGGGCGGGCACTATCTCTTCCCTCCGCCATGTGTGGCTTCGCTTTGGGGCTTTTTGGATTTGGTTTGGCTTTATTAGTGGGGGGCAGGGGGCGGTTTGTGTTTTGGAGTTTCCCCACCCCGGTGTTTTGGGTGCCCCCTAACAAACGATTAACGTGGATCTCAGGTGTTCGTGTTGGGTCAGAGACTGATAATCTCCTTTGTTTGTAATGACTTTATTGATAGTAGCCATCTCAGCTCCACCAGCAGGAAAGATGGGTTTTCGTTCATAGGGAAGAAAGCCATTTTACAGCCTTTGATCACTCACCTCTCTTCTAAAGAGCCAGGGCTTCTCGCTCAACACCAGACACAAGCGAGAGGCTGCACAAGAAATCCCTGCCGCCTGGTGTTGAAGGGTTTGTCAGCCGTGGGTGTGGGCCGTGACACTGTGGGAGAAATAAAAACCTCTAGGCAAGGTTATGTTCCTGCGCGCTCTTTCCCTGGCCTGCAGTTCACAAATTGCTTTTATTTTCAGGTCTATCCTGCAAGACGGTGTTTGTCTTGTCATGCTTCTGGAAGCGGGTTCGAATGAGTAATAACCCCTTCACCCCACCCCCACGCCCCACACTAAGGATTTATGCGATTCTGTCCTTGGCAGAGCATTTGTCAGAGGTGAAGGGGCCGGTGAAAATGGTCCCTCACCTTGTCCAGGCTGAGCTGCACTGAGACCCTAGCCCCTGCCAAGCCCCGGCGCCCGGCCTGCACCCACGGTCCGTGGTCACAGTGGGAAGGGGCAAGCAAGTATTGGTTGTCGTCACATGAGAACGTGGTCACTGCCTTTCTGTGTTAGCTTTCGACCTCAAAAGAACAGATTTAGATGTGTTTTAATTAATACAGACTTTGAAAATGTTGAATATTATGGGAGTACCAAAAACTTTATTCTTGCCTCAAACACTTTTTGGGTGGCTGTGTGTTCCTTGAATTTTTGTGGTGAATTCATTACCATTAGAAAATGTCCATTTTTCCTATTCTGTCTGAATATATAATTTGCGTACATAACTTGCTGGCGAATTTCAGCATGAAATGTGAACATGAAGCATGCTTTGAAATGTTATTGCTCTAAGGCAGCCACTCTCCTGGGGTCTGGAATATATAAAACCATGTAAATGATGGATCTCCAGTCCTTCAGTGAAGGGCTCAGAGGAAAATGACTGTTTACTCAGCAAGCCAGGTCCTGGGAAGACGACAGCGCTCGAGTCTGAGGGCGGGAAGAGGTGGGGCGCAGGGTTATGTAACCGCCGGGCCGCGGTCTACGGAACCTTCCAGCAGGCCAGGGAAGGACAGAGCAGAACACTTGCCTTCCTCACAGCCCACGTCCTAAAATAAGGCAAACAGACATTTTCAATTTCACAAAATATTCCAAGCATTTTGGATTTCCTTGCCTCTTTGTAGATGGTTGTGTTTGGGGGTGCACTGGAAAGGGCGTTCTCAGGAACAGCGGCAGGACAGAAGGCCGTGCCGAGCCACACCGCCTTCCCCTCCGAATGGCCATACAAATAACATGCCAGCGACCCCAGGGCACCAGCCCTCACTCCCAGTTTTATCGACATGTATGTAACCACTTAACTGGCAGGATTTGACCTTGACGATTGCTCTTCGAGTGCCAAGTGATGGTGGACCAATGTGCCGCCTGTGCCTTCTCGCTCCTTTGGTGGAGTGACAGCTGCGCGGTGGTGCTGCGTGTTGGCTCACTTGACTTTCCTTCCCTTTCCCCCCGGGCCCGTGGGCTGGCAGCGCCGGGGTCCAGCAGGCCAGCTGCAGAGCCTCGGTGCCCTCCAGCAAGGGCAGCAGCAGCGGCAGCAGCAGCAGCGGCAGCAGTTCGTCCAGCGACTCGGAGAGCAGCTCGGGATCCGACTCCGAGAGCGAGAGCAGCTCCAGCGAGAGCGAGGGCAGCAAGCCCGCCCACTACTCCAGCCCCGAGGTAAGACCTGCACGGCCCAAGCCCTGGGCCTCAGTCAGTCCTGGACCCTGGTCCTCACAGCCCCCCACCTTCGTGCTGTGACAGCCACGACCCCTAAGGCCACCGCCCCTTGGCAGCCTGTCAGGTTGGTTTGGGCTCATCATTTTCCCTGCTCTGCCCCCTCCTCGCAGTTCTCGTAATTACAGAGCTTCCTTGGAAGCACTGAAGTTGCATCTTTCATCTCCAAAAATCTCTATCTTGATGGCCAGACATTCCCAAATATGCTGGAAATATCGCTGGCTGGAGTGGATGAGGTCTCCCTAAGGGTCAGCAGGGCAGTAAGCAGCCAGGGCCGGTTACTGAATGGGAAGCGAGGCCACCTGTGACTCAGGGAAAGGAGTTTATGGATTAGACATGGTAAGACCTTACCTTTGTGCAGTTTGTCACAGATTAGAAGAACACGAGCTGTAAGTATTAATAAGACTTTCCTAACTATGCTTTCTTTGTGAAAATATTTTTAAAAATTAGCATCAACCTACAAATAATAATGAAACCTTTTCTAGCTATAATGAGTATCTATGTGGGAGATTTAGATGCCTCATATAAAAACATTATAAAGTGCCAATAAAAACATTGCTATTTCAACTTTAAAGGGAAATATTAAACAGGCTTTCAGGGCATAGAGGTTCTTGGGAGAGGGTTGAGGGCAAATTTCTCAAGTTCATGGCTCTGTACGGTAGACTTTCATTTCTAAAGAAGGAGTAAAATAGTTTCCTCTTGCGTGTATAAACATTTGATGTTACCTTGGATGGTAGGATTTAATTTTTCACCTAACAACCCACTGTATCACTTTGGGGCCCACATTTCTAAATGGGCTCTGGAATGAAACCAAGGCCACTTATGTAAACCGAGGCGGTGAGAGGGAGCCCTCGGGGACTCTGTGCCCAGCCCTGTGCCTGTGCCTGAGGACACTGGAGAGCAGCTGTGGCCTTACCTGCAGTCCGGAGAGTGGCTCTTCAATTCCCTCAGGGTCTCCCCCTCCAGCAGCACTGAGAAACCCGGGGAATATACTCCCCACACTCCTCATTTCTTCCAGTACCTTCCTGCTCTGCTCCGAGCACTTGTCATGCACCCTGAAATAAACCATCTCTCCTGCACTTCCTTCCCTTTCCATGAGGCTTACCTCCTCCCCCCTGTCCGGCCGCCATATAAAGGAAGGCTCTTAGCAACATCCTATATAATAAAGAGGTAATATGCAAATTGACCATCACACCCTCGCCCAAGATGGCCGCCCCCACGTGGTCACAAGATGGCCACCACAAGATGGCTGGCAGGGGAGGGCAGTTGGGGGCAATCAGGCCAGCAGGGGAGCAGCTAGGTGTTGATCAGGCTGGCAGGGGAGTGGTTAGGGGGGATCAGACTGGTAGGCAGAAGCGGTTAGGGGCAATCAGGCAGGCAGGCAAGCGGTTGGGAGTTAGCAGTCCGGATTGTGAGAGGGATGTCTGACTGCCGGTTTAAACCGGCAGTTGGACATCACCTGATGGGTCCCAGATTGGAGAGGGTGCAAGCTGGACTGAGGGACACGCCCCCCTCCAGTGCACAAATTTTGTGCACCGGGCTTCTAGTTAACCTATAAAAGCCTCAGGTTGATATAACACTGACTTTTCCCCAAAACTAAATTATTATTCCTTCTTTATAATTTTATTCACTCACTCATTCCGTATTCATTCAACTAATACTTATCAAGCATGCACCCCAGACCTGGTGCTTGGCTCTGGGATACAGCAATTATCTGGCATGTCCCTGCCTTATCAGAGCTGGGCTGATAATGGCAATAATATGAAACAAAAAAAATACAGGAGTTCAATAAAGTAAAGGAGTTTAGACAGGCTTCTTCAAATCCAAAGTTATGCTATAATTTGTTGAGAAACTCCAGAAGAGTATTAGCTATAAGAAATAATTGGGTCCCAGGACAGTACAGGAGCCACGGGGGCAGTGGAGTGGGTAAAAAGCGTTAGTGTCTGTGATGACCCCTGTCCAGGCTCTTCTCTGTGACTTTGAAGCTTAAGCCCATGAGCAGTTGAGTCTCATTCTCATGGGTGAGGCCAAAGCCCAGCCTAGGAGAAGTGCAGTTCTTAGGCACTTTTTTAAAAAAAAATTTTGTTGTTGTTTAAAGTTTTACTTCTATCTCCTTTTTCCCCAATTGACCCCCCCCCCCCCCGCTCGCCGCCACTCGCACCCCTGAGGGCAAACCCCCACTGCCCCAGTGTCTGTGTCCATTGGTTATGCTAATATGCATGCATACAAGTCCTTTGGTTGATCTCTAACCTCCCCCTCCCCTGCCATTTGTCTCTGGATCTACTTTTGTTCATCAGTTTATGTTGATCATTATATCCCACATATGAGTGAGATCATATGATATTTATCTTTCTCTGACTGATTTCGCTTAGCATAATGCTCTCCAGTTCCATCCATGTTGTTGCAAATGGTAAAAGTTCCTTCTTTTTTTATAGCAGCATAGTATTCCATTGTGTACATGTACCACAGATTTTTAATCCACTCACCTGCTGATGGGCACTAAGACTGTTTCCAAATCTTAGCTATTGTAAATTGTGCTGCTATGAACATAGGGGTGCATATATCCTTTCTGATTGGTGTTTCTGGTTTCTTGGGATATAGTCCTAGTAGTAGGATTACTAAGTCAAATGGGAGTTCCGTTTTTAATTTTTTGAGGAAACTCCATACTGCTCTCCACAGTGGCTGCACCAGTCTGCATTGCCACCACCAGTGCACAAGGGTTCCTTTTTCTCCACATCCTCGCCAGCATTTGTCATTAGTTGATTTGTTGATGATAGCCATTCTGACAGATAGGAGATGGTATCTCATCGTTGTTTCCATTTGCATCTCTTGGATGATTAGTGACTTTGAGCATGTTTTCATATGTCTCTCAGCCTTATGTATGTCCTCTTTCAAAAAGTGTCTATTTAGGTCCTTTTCCCTTTTTTTATTCAGATTATCTTCCTTTTAAGTTGTATGAGTTCTCTGTACATTTTGGAGATTAAACCGTTATCTGAAATAATAACATTGGCAAATATGTTCTCCCATGCAGTGGGCTTTCTTGTTGTTTTGTTGATGGTTTCTTTTGCTGTGCAGAAGCTTTTTATTTTGATGTAGTTCAATTTGTTTATTTTCTCCTTAGTCTCCATTGCCCTAGGAGCTGTATCAGTGAAGATATTGCTATGACATATGTCTGCTATTTTGCTACCTATGGAATCTTCTAAGGTTTTTATGGTTTCCCATCTTACATTTAAGTCCTTTAGCCATTTTGAGTTTGTTTTTGTGTATGGTGTAAGTTGGTGATCTAGTTTCATTTTTTTGCATGTATCTGACCAAATTTCCCAGCACCATTTATTGAAGAGACTGTCTTGACTCCATTATATGCTCTTGCCTCCTTTGTCAAATATTAATTGAACATAATGGCTTGGGTCGATTTCTGGGTTCTCTGTTCTGTTCCGTTGGTCTATATGTCTGTTCTTGTGCCAGTACCATGTAGTTTTGAGAACCGTGGCTTGGTAATATAGCTTGATATCTGGTATTGTGACCCCTCCAACTTTGTTCTTTCTCAGGATTGCTGTGACTATTTGGGGTCTTTTGTATTCCCGATGAATTTTTGGAGAGTTTGTTCTAGATCTTTGAAGAATGCCGTTGGTATTTTAATGGGGATTGCGTTGAATCTGTAGATTGCTTTGAGTAGTATGGACATTTTAATGATGTTGATTCTACCAATCCATGAACATGGTATGTTCTTCCATTTGTTTATGTCTTCCTCTATCTCTTTTTTCAACGTCCTGTAGTTTTCCAAGTAAGTTCTTAGGCACTTTAAGCAAGTTCTTTCAGAATGTCCCTGAGATGATCACAGGCTTGAACTCCTTGGTGAGGAAAGGAAGCTCTTGTCGTTTCTCCCAGCAGCTCTCAGAGGCCCTGGCTCTGGAGAGCAGGCCTGGAGCCAAGCTGCCTGGGGCCACACACAGCTTTCAGCTCCTTGCTTCTGGGTGCAGAGAGGCCTTGGAAGTGGCAAGAGCGGGTTAGTCACCATAACAGCCTGGCGTGTGGGGAGGAGAGGAGGCCCTCATGACGTTCCAAGGACCCGCATTCTCCCCTCAGTGGCCAGCACCAGAACCCAGGGGGCTCAGCTGATTTCCCTCTGCACTGCCCTCCACGACCGGGCTTGTAGAGACACTGCATTGAACAGACTCACCATCATATATGCCTTGTCCGCACGCTGGCACAGAGCGGCCACTGCAAACACTAGCCCACCATGCAGTGCCCTCCCTGCGGCCTGATGTTCGCTGAGTGTTCTCAGTCTAATTTGTGTCACTTGAGTTTCATCTTCTTTTCTGGCATGATGCACCCTTTCATGTCAGAGCTTTCCGGGCGACAGTGACTCCCCCTCAGTGAGCAGAGTGCACCCCGACAGAGAGCTCCCAGACCCTGACACATGGGTACATGGAAGGCCAGGATTGTCGGCTTAACCATCACTTTACCCCAGGGCTCCACCCAGCCCCTGGTATTGCTCATGGAAACTGTTTCCCATTGCGCATTCCCCAGACTTATCTGACATGGAAACCTTTCTCGTGGACTCCATGAACTAAAAGCACCTGTGGGAAATGCTGCCCTGGGTTGTTCTTAAAAATCAGCAGAAATGTGATGCAAGGTGTTCCTTGATTGAACTAGCTTCTCCTTAGCAAGGCATCGGTGGGGTGCACGGCAGGGGGTGCTAGGAAGGAGTCCGATGGAGCAGGGACTGCAGCGCTCGCTGGAGGCTTAGGCATGAGTGGGAGTGAAGGTTCACCAGGGAGGAGAATCAACCAGGGAGGAGAATCGTGGCTGAAAATAGAAAGCAGTGAGCAAGCAAAGCAAACATGGGCAGAAGCCCTGGGGCGGCTCAGGAAGGCGGCCATCCCGGCTGCATGCCAGTGCACGAGTCCCACCCTGTCCCCCTTCACCGCCACGAAGTCTTCACGGCTAAGCTCCCGGGGCCACAACTGCCCGGCCCCCGGAATGGCCGCTCCGAGGACTGAGAGGAGGAGTTGAGGGACAGCCAGGGAGCGTTGTTCTCAGGATCAGCCACAGCAGCCTGCCTCCCTAACCCGTGCAGACGCTGCAAGAGACACACCGAAGCCGAGACCTGGCTCCTGCCTAACGGGAGGGCTGGGCTTTGCTGAAGGCACAGGTACACATGAAACAAACATGAGCATCTAAAGGCCGTGCAGTGGAGGTTAGCAGGAGGCACCGGCATTGTTTGGAGAGTGAGTGGTGTTCTCCAAAATCAGACCTGACTCTCTCATTTTAGGTTGAAGACCCACATTTCTCCAGGGAATGAGGTCCCTCTTTTCTGAAGCTATGCAGGGGAATGGGAGATTAGGCGAGGCAGCCCGGGAGAGACCCTGGTCTTTCAACCTAAACCGATATGTGTTTAGTCTCAGGGTGCCTGGTAGCTGTGCAGCTTTGACATGTCACTTAACCTCTCTGATCCGCATCCACAAATTAGCGGCGATACTTCTTATCTGTACGGATTAAATCAGATGGCACATGAGAAGCGGGAGGCACACTGTAGGTGTTCCAGCAACGAAGAATGACTGGAAAGTGATGGATGTCCTGAACACCAGCCCGAGAAGTTTGGATTCCCTTTGAGAGGCAGGAGGAAGCGTGATTTAGTGGTGTAGATGGTACTTCAGACCAATTTCTTCAGCTGTGACGTGGGGAAAAAAATGACCCCAAAGCACATGAGGCAGCAGGCGCATATTAAATGTACTAACTCCCCCTTCACTGTGAGTGCCCGGCAGGAAGTGCTGGGAGGTGTGAGCTGTGGGAGGCTCAGGATGGCGGGGGCGGGGAAGGAGTGTTAACGTGGGGTGGGGCCAGCGTGAGGGGCATGCTCTGCCACAGTGTTGGCCCCCCCTCCCCATATGTGTCCCTTTTCTGCAAGAGGCCCCTCTGCCCGCATCCCTATTTCCTGGGCCCCGTTTGTCTAGGGAAGCTGAGGCACACAAGTCACTGAAACAGTGAGAGCAATGGGGGTGGGAGGAGAAGGTAACAGGAGCCGTAATTGTTTGCCACCAAATTAGCTCTCAGCCACACTCACTCCTCTCAGGGAAGGTGACAGCTTCCCCTGGTGGAGCAGCTGCCTGTGCCTGCCGCTCCCCGAGGGGCGAGGGGCGCTCTGCGTGGCAGTGAGTGTGCACCGGGGTGCTCCTGCGTTCTGTGGGCTCCTCTCCGAGAAGCCAAGTAAAGCGAGGTCGGAATTGCCGTGTTACCACTCGAGGCCGCCAAAAAGATATTTGTGTTCTTTTGTGTCTCGCTTTTGGTGCATGAAAACAAACAAAGCAAAGACCTGACACACACACCCCCAATCAGGGCCACGAGGGTTCCTCCTCCCACACCTGTGTCCCAGGGGGAAGCCTCGCCACCCAACAGCCCAGGGCAAGGGCCTCGGACGCTCACACTGGGCCCACTGGACACTGGTGCCGGGGTCCCTGAGGTGCAGCCGGTCTCATCTGTTTTGGAAGAAGCAGCAGGGTGTCCCTGGTCCCTGCCAGGGCTCGGTGCCTGGTTCCCACGCTCTGTGTCCCTCACCTTGGCCCCAGGCCCCGTGGCCCCTCAGAAGCTCCCAGCTTCCCGAGTTACGGCCCCAGACTCCCCCAGACGCAGCCAGGCCCCTCCTTCCCTTCACTCTCCTCAAGGGTTTGTGCCCCAAGTTCTTCCTCATGTGGAGCCCACTATTGAAAAACAAATCTTGATACATGAAATTATTGTGTTAAAGAAAATGTGTTCTACGAGGGAGGCTGACTTGCTCTGGACTTTAACCAGTCATGTTCGAAAGGCAACGCCAAGCAATGTCTTCTTTCCTCTAGGCTGGTCTCTGGTCTCCCCTGAAACAGCAGATGCCATGGTCAGAGGCCGGGAGGCTGTAGGGAAGGAAAAAGACATCACCTAACTCAGATATTTTCTCCTTTTCATGTATGGTCACAAAATGCAAACACTCTGGTTGGAGTTCTACACTTACCAATATACCTCCTTTCTATTAATCATAGATGATGGATCAATGGACTTCATTAGAAATCAACCGACGAAGCAGGTCCTCGGTTCTTCACCTTTTTGTGGGACAGAGAACTAAGACCTTCCCTTAGGCAAAGGCATCTCTGAAGCATTTCACATTCTGTCCCAGGCTTTCACTGACCCCGGAACCGGTCTATGGGGCAGAGTTTAAAACCTGGAATACCCATGATTTGCTCTAAACTAATCGCTCGCAGGAAAGACTTCCCATGGTCACTTTCATGTCTGAAACATTTCTGGCAAAGTGGGTGGGAGCAGGTTAGGGGTGGATTAACCAAGTCCCGCCGCCAGAGCTCACGGACACCGGCGGCTGCTCAAAGGGAGTTCTGCACCCCTAGCCAGGCCGTCTGCCCCAAGTTGCTGCCTCTGCTGGTAACTGCCCTGCTTGCCTTCACTGCATGAACGCTATGTCCCTTCTTTGGGACTACAGGCTCCACGTAGCCCCCTCATACTGATGTCCCCCAAAATTGTAAGTCTTACAAAAACGGAGCGCTTTAACACTTGGCCTCCAGACGCTCCCCAGTTAACTTTCACGGAATCTCGTGTGTGTGTGTGTGTGTGTGTGTGTGTGTGTCTGTATAATTATAAAAGATACACATTGTATAACAGGCAAAGGTGTTGGAAATGAGTTCTAATGAAGCACAGTGCTATCCCTAAATTTTTTCTAATTGGCTTCAAAGTACTGCCCTGACATTTCAGCGACCTGGGACAGGAAAGGGACGCCACCCTGCATCCAGATGCCAACTGAGAGCTGCCCCACGCGGCTGTGCCCCTGCTCCTCCCCCCCCCCAGCCCCCCACTGCTTTCTGCTCATACACCTAGAGGAGTAAGTGAAGATGAAACAGCCAGGCGCCTTTGAGTAGGTCTGTAATAAAGGATGTTTTGTTTGTTGCTTTTAGGCTGAGCCCGCGTCCTCTAACAAGTGGCAGCTGGATAAATGGCTAAACAAAGTTAACCCCCACAAGCCGCCTATTCTGATCCAGAATGAAAGCCACGGCCTGGAGAGCAGTCAGTACTATGCCCCCGGGAAGGACCCCGCGCAGGACTGCGGGAAACTCGCCGACGGGTGCCAGGCCGGCCTGAGGGAGAAGGACGTCAAGAGCGCCTGCAAGGAAGAGCAGAGGCCAAGGACAGCCAACAAGGCCCCGGGGACGAAGGGGGTGAAGCAGAAGTCCCCGCCTGCGGCTGTGGCCGTGGC